AGCTATCAGGTATCAAAAGATCCAAAACAAACAACTACGTCTATGAGAAAGAGGGGGGTTGGAGTAGAGACCTAAAGCCCATCTGTAGATAGTTGGATATCTCCATCAAAGAAGTGGTATAAGGAAGGGATGACTCAATCAAGCCGTAGGATAGTACCTATGAACCACACATCATCCCTCTAGTTCCTAAATATTTCCTCCCCCCTCTACCATGATTGAGTTCTACTTTACAAACCTGGATAGACCGGAGAACACACACTGGTACAGATAAGAGCTCTCCACACATGGAATTCAGGAAAGACAAACCCCTCAGGAACAGTCATGGAAGTAGTGATATCTTGAGGGTGGGGGATGGACAGGGAGGGAGAAGAGTGAGAAAGGTGGAACCCATCACAAGATTGAATGTATACTTCCCCAAAGGAGACAAATAACATAAATGTGGGTGAAGGGAGGCAACAGACAGTGTGAGATACAAAATAACAATAACAATATATAATTGATCAAGGATCCACAGGGGTGGGAGGGTGGGGGAGGTAGGGGGGAAAGAAGAGCTGATACCAAAGGCTCAAGTAGAAAGAAAATGTTTTGGAAATGTTGACAGTAACCTACATACAAGTGTGCTTAATACCAGTGAATGATGCATTGTTATATGATTTGTAAGAGCACCCCCCCAATAAAATGATTAATAAAAAATAGAAACATCTGAAAACCCCATCCTGTCGGCATACCGCAAATCACATTCCATTCCACAGCAAGCCTGGGTTGGTTCTCAGTAGCCATCCTTGCCCTCGGTGGCTTGTAGTGTGGTGGGGACATGGGCAAAAAGACGCAGATGAGCACCAAGGAAGCCCAGGCCCTGCCCTGCCTAGGCACAGGGCCATCAGGGGGTTCCCCATAGCTCTGCAGACAGTCTGCTTCTTTAAGAATTGACAGCTCCGGAAAGCCTATGGGGGTCAACATGACACTGTCCGATAGTGCCACTTTGGGTCCGAATCGGCTGGTAATGGGGGTTAAGGTGGGGTGAGCGCACTTGACCTTTGGGTCACCAGGGCATTGACAGGCAAGTCTGGAGATCCCTGAGCTCTGTCCTCTACCCAAATGGATGGGGGTGTGAGGGGATGTGGGGGTGACCCTTGGTACAGTCCATAGCTTAGAGCCTTCTTTATGAGGGGCCCTGAAAGAGTGCATGGATAAAGGGAATTGAAAGACAGCCCGGGAAGAGCAGAAGAGATTACCGATCAAAGGTCATTTCATCAGAATTGGCCTCTTCCCATTTGATGAAACTCTGCCCACCCACAGCTGAGCTCGACGGCTGGTGAGATACCCCCGAAAGCCGTTTCCTGCCCCATCCCCACCCCTTCGCCTCTAGTTTAGTTTCACCTCCTTTAAACTCGAGGCCAACTCAGAGCGACCCACAGGACAGAGGAGAACTGCCGTTGTGGGTTTCTGAGAAGATCGGCTCTTTAGGAGAGGAGACAGCCTCATCTTTCTCCCACGGAGCAGCGAGTGGATTTGAACTGGTCGACATGTGGCTCCATGCCACCGGGGCTTCCCGGGGCCTACACTGGAGCATGTTGGAGGAGTTTCAGGTTTGCAGCCTGAGCACGTCTGATTCGCTGTGCCACTGCTCACGGTGTGGCTTGTGTAACATTCTATTTGCGAGGACGGCTTACATGTTTCCTTTTTGAATCCCCCAGAGCCGTTTACCATGCCCAGCGGGCCTGCGAAAACGGTGGGCTGGGTGAATGGCTGGGTCAGCAGGAGCCTGCTGAGAGCTGCTTATCAGGCTGCCTCATCCAATGGAGTCAGGGCCAGAGGATGGATAGGTGCCGGCTGTGCCCTGGCCAGCTTGCCATGGGAGAAGCAGGGGGCCGTCCGTGGCTTCGGGAGGTGGTGGGTGCAGACTGGCAGCTTTCCAGCCTCCTCCGCAGCATCACAGGGCCATGGCACGTGATGTCCCCGCACTCCACACGTCCACCCTGAAAGCTGCTTTGCCAATTGACCACTTGCTCCTGCTCTCCTTTCCACAGCGGTCCCTGTCGGCCTGCTCGCTGGTGGCAGAAGATGCCCTGAAGACTTCTTCCCAGGACGTGGCCTGGAGCCAGCCGTGGGAGCAGGGCCAGTGCCCCAGAGAGGAGTCCTCGCTGCCCAGCTGGAGGAGCCTGGACAGGCTGCACAACTCAAGTAACTGGTTTAAGCAGCACCTAACAGGTCTGTGGGCCCCAGGTGCTATCTCTGCTTCTCATACGTCCGAACCAGAGTGTGACAACTCAGGGGGGCTCGGCCACCAGGTCCCACCGCCTGTGGCAAGAGCCACCCCAAGGCCCTTTCTTCCTCACCCTCACCCAGGTAGAGGAATTCAGGCCTCTGATCAGGTTCAGCCTTCCTGGAGAGCCCTAGGACGAGGGGAGTGCGCCTAGCAAGGGCGTGCAAGAGAGCCAGGCATCGCCGCAGCCTGCTCAAGGTGTCTTTGTCCTTCCAGGAGGACAAGTCACAGCTGGGCCTAGCCCACCCTCCCCCCAAGCCGAATGCTTTCCTCACTCAGCTATGTGCAGTGGGAGCGAGGCGCATAATCATCATGAACCACTTTCTCAGTCCGTGCTGTACACCGGATCTAGACCTACATACACACACACAACAAACCAGCCCAAGTCGAGCAGCCGAGCCCCAGCATGCTGTCATTCCTCACGTACAAGGGGGTAGGGTCAAGGACAGCTATACAGACGGAATCTGTCCATGGGTATCAGGCTCAGCAAACAGCACGGGGCTTTTGGTTTTTGTTTTATTTTGATTTTTTAAACAATCCTTCTCAAGATTTTCCCGAACAGACTGTTGCGGGGTTACCCTGAGTGTCCGTCAGAAGAAACCCTGATGCTGGGGAGACACAGGGGACACATGACAATTGGTTGACAGGCGTGCTTTGGGTTTTAAAAGTTCTTTTATAAAAAAAAAAGCTCTTTTCCTTCCTAGGCATGACTTTCTGTCCCCACTGCCCAGCACATCGATGTATCTATAGCCCGTCATCCACTTTTCCTTGCGCTGGCCCCACCCTCTTCCCCTCTCCCCCCTTTCTGCCCCCTTTCCCTTCTGCCTTCCCCCCATCCCATGAAAATTCCAACCCAAAAAAGGGACTTATGATCCACAGGGCATATGAGGATATGCTGTAAGAGCTTCGAGAAGCGTCAGTCACTAGCCTGGTAAAGCCAGCTTCTGTGTGTGTACTACTTCCTGTATTCCTCCTACAGTGTCGTGGGCAAGCACTACCATTACCTTGGATGGCGGATGAGAACAGGGACACTGGGGTTTGGTGACATCCAAGATCCCATAGCTAATGTGGGCAGAGCTGCTCCTCAGACCCAAGCATCATTGGCTCGTGACACCACACTACCATGTCCATCCCACGCCTGTGTGGAAGCAAGTTGTCTCCCACCTTTAAACAAAATCACACACGTACCAAAATTTAGCCTTGTGAGCTGATGACCAATCCATAGGGCAGTGTAGACATTTCTAAAAAGCAACTCGATTTCACAAGAGAGTTCCCCTGCTGGATGATAAGCAATCCGTGTAAAACGGCAAAGGACATTGGTTTTCAGACCACGATTTGGGGTGTGTCATAAAACGGAGCACCCCTGTGTCAGGCATCAGTTGCCTATGAGCACAGCACAGCTCGACAGCATCCCGAGAGAAGACCCAGGCTCTAGTTGAGACACCCCGGCGCCTCTCGGGTTGCAGATGGGAAGAAGAAAGACAAGGCTGGATTTCTGAGGAAGGCCCCGCCCGGACATATTCCAGAGACCTCGAGAGCCTGTCTCCTCTCCCCCCCACCCCCGCCCCAAAAGACCAAACTCATTGCCAGCAAATTGATTCCAACTCATGACACAGTTCCACCCTCTAACACATGGGGTTGCTGTGTGTGTGTGTGTGTGTGTGTGTGTGTGTGTGTGTGTGTGTAAGAGAGAGACATAGAGAGAAACTGAGACACAGAGAAAGATGTTTATCAGGAAGCCAATAACTCCTGGGATTGTTTCCCCAGCTCAGCAGAGCAGAAGAGAGGTGGCCCTGGAGGGGAAGGGCAGCTCAGAAGGCTACTGTCCACTCCTGGGTTCTTTTCAGCAGTTCTGTTTGAGCCTCAGGAGAAAGGGCAGTTCACGGCCCATCAGCCTGCAGTGCAGACAGCCTTAGGGACAAGGTGGGCCAGGCAAGCCACAGCCACCCCACCGTCAGCCTTGGCTGTGCTGAGAGCAGCCCCGTGTCTTCCCCAAACACCTTTTCCCTCTATAGCCCTTGCCTGTCTGCAAAGCTGGGGAGATAAAGATGGATCCAGACCCAGTCCCTGTTCCTGAATTGCTCACCAAGAGCTGCCCACACACCAGAAAGGAAATGGCCCCCTCGATTCCTGGGCCCCCGACACACACACACATTTTTAAAAAAAAATGAACCCAAGCCACAGGTTCTGCTGCCAGCTGCTGTGCCTGGAGCGACAGGTCTGGACCAGGTACCTACGGCTAAAGGAGACACCGGGCCGTGTTGCTTCCACTCCCAGACACAGAAGCACAAAGCAGCTGTTAGCCCCACCTGCAGAACAGTCCTGGGGACCCAGCCTAGTCTTCACAGATGCCCCGCACAGACCCATTCCGGGCAACCAGAGTCTGGGCCGCCGTCTGAGCACCACTGCAGCCCTGCACGGCCATGCTGCACAGCCGACCAGCACCGCCCACCATGGTCTAGATCAGCGGTTCTCAACATGTGGGTCGTGACCCTTTCACGGGGGTCACCTAAGACCATCGGAAGACACAGAACTATTTCACAGTACATAATTACATATTGTTTTGTGATGAATCACGATGCTTTAATTATATTCGATTTGTCACAATGACACTACATCCTGCCTACCAGATATTTACATGAGGGTTCATCACAGTAGCAAAATGACAGCTATGAAGTAGCAACGAAAATAATTTTATGGTTGGGCGTCACCACGTGAGGAACTGTATTAAAGGGTCGCGGCATTAGGAAGGTTGGGAACCACTGGTCTAGAGTCACGAACAGCCCGGGGCTCAGAAGATGTGCCTGCTCCCAGCTCCTGCAGTTAGATACCAGCTCTGTGACCTCTAGCGAGTTCATGCCACTCGCCTGGGCTCCCCACTCGTCTGTAAAACGAGATCGGAAACTCCAACCTCTTCCATGCCTCCAAGCCTTCCCTGGAGGAAGTGTGATAAATAAACACACACTTTTTCCGCACAGGGCAGGAGTTGTTAGCGGTCTTACCTGCAGACACCCAGGCCTGTCAGGTGGAGCAAGGCAGGTGGGGAAGTCACCTCCCTCCAAATGAGCATCTGAGCATCTGAGGTCAAGGCAGGAGAACCCAGAGCTACCGGCTCCACTCCTTCCTTCTGCCTGTCTCCCCCGGAGAGACTGGAGTGGCCCGGGACTGGGATGCCATGAAACAGGACTGCCCTGGACGTACAGGTCCTCTCCTTCCAAGAAGCTCGAGGGGCCTGGAAACCTCAAGGAACCTCATGGGGTCTTTCCTCTTGGTGGGCCGACGCACCAGTCATGGGGAGACCAACAAGTGGAAACCCACCCACCTTTCTGTATCAGAAAACAACAACAACACACCCACTGCATTGAGTAATGGGACGGAATAGAACTGCTCCCTAGGGCAGAAACCAGAGGTTGCATCCCCACCCCGCCAGGGCTCTGGAATCATCCTGGATCCCTGGTGGCATAGAGGGTTACGTGTTGGGCTGCCACCAGCCAGGTCAGTCGTTCAAAACGACCCGCCCCTACTCAGGAGCAAAAATGAGGCTTTCTGCTCTTGTAAACAGTTACCTGCTCGGAAATCCACGGGGACAGGCCCATCCTGCCCTGCAGGGTCAGAATCAACCCCCTGACTTTGTGCTGGGGGCTTTGAAAAACAGTCCTGGAGAATGTCGAGATTACAAACGATTTTCATTGCCGGCAGGGTGCTGAGTAATTTTATTTTATTTTATTCTTTTTTTTTTTTTT